CCGCCAGGGTGTTGGGCGGAGGGGACGCGCCGCGCGCTATGACGGCGGCCAGCGGCCGAGCGGCGGGCGAGCGGGCTGGAGGTGGCGGGCGGCGGGCGACGCGCGGGCCCCGCGTGCCGAGCGCGCGCCTTCAAAGGGGAGAACTTGGCGAAGGGCGCGTGGCCGTTGGCCATCTCCAGCATCGTGATGCCCAGGGACCAGATGTCCGCCGACGAATTGTAGCTGGGGGCAGGGGATGCGCGGCCATGGAATAGAAATAGCTGGGGCCGGCGACGCACCGAGCGGCAGCGCAAAGGGGCGGGTTGCGGGGCGCCGGCATCCAGCGCCGCGGCGGCCCGTCGAAGGGCCGCGGCGCGCACACGCCGGGCAGCTTCCGGGCAGCTACTCACCCCTGCGCCTGCTCCATGACCTCCGGCGCCATCCAGCAGGGGGTCCCCACAAACGTCGTCCGCGTGCCCTTGTCGTTGCCCCAGGACCCGCCGCGGCCAATGGTCGCCGCCACGCCAAAGTCGCCGATCTTGATGCTGCCGTCGCGGTCGATCAGAATGTTGCCTGCCTGGGGGGCCGCGGGCGCGGGTGCGCGGTCGTGGTGGCAAAAGCGTCGTCGCACCAGCGCATCAGAACGCTCCGCTTGCCACCGCCGCGTTTCCAGACGGAGGATCCTGGCTGGTCAATCATCTGCCCCCCCCCCCCCGCCTCCCCGCCCTTCCGTCTGAAGACACTCAGCGTGCGCGGCAGCCGGGCCCCGCCCGCCCCCTTTGTTACACACTGACCTTGACATCGCGGTGGATGCCACCGTTCTTGTGGACATAGTCCAGCCCCTTGAGCACCTCGCGCACTATGGTGGCGATCGCGACCTCCCCCAGCCCCTGCGCTCGCGGGCGCAGCGAGCGTGCATCGCAGCGCGACCTGAGCGCTGCCCTGCCGGGGCGCCCACCAGCGCCGCTGCGGCCGCGCGCGGGGCTGCCCTGAAGCAGGGACGGGCCGTGCGGGCACACGCGTGTGCGGAAACATCGTCAGGCCATCACGGCGAGCCGTGCCGCGCCGCGCCGCGCGCACCTCTGGGTGGCCATACTTCATTATGTGTAGCACGCTGCCGCCCGCGCAGAAGGGCGTGATCATGTAGAGGTCCTGCCCCGACACAAAGCTGGCCAACAGGGGCAGCACGTTGGGGTGGCTGTAGGACTTCATGGTCTGGGCCTCGTTTATTATGTCCTCCTGACGGGACAGGCGCAGCGGCGGGTTGGGGGCGGGCGTGCAAGGGGCAGAGGCAGGGAGGGTGCTTGGGAGAGACAGAGGAGGAGGAGGAGAAGAAGCGGTGTGTGCGCGTGGCTCACGAGGTTGGAGTTGATGCTCTCCAGGTTCATCTTTTTGACGGCGACGACCTCGTTGAGGGGCTTGCAGAGGGCGCGGTGCACCTGGCGGGGACAAGGGGTGATGTCAGCGTGAGTGGGCTGGGCGGGAGGGGTTGGGGATGCCAACTCGTGTGCGTCGCTGTGCACACAGGTGTGCTGGCCAGCATGCACACGGGGCTTGCGGTATGGTGGCATTGGGCGGCTGCGAGAAAATAGGCCGGCCAGCATGAGGGGATTTTACCCGCGCCGCTTGTCCCGCTGCAGCGCATACACACGTTGCATGGCCTGGGCGCCACGCTGTATGAGACATGGCAGACAAGAAAATATCGAGGTGGCGATGGGCAGAGCTGCTTTCGCACCGTTGCACTCACGCCCCGACCGCAGTCCTCGAGCAGCTCATATGCACTAGCCTCCGCAGGGTACCTAGCAGGAAGATGCGGATTTGAAGATCTATACACCAAAGCCTATATACATGTCGTGGTAGAGGCTACGCGAGACGGGCACCCACAGCAGCACCACCAGCAGCAGCAGCAGCAGGCCAGCAGCAGCATCAGCAACAGCAGCGAAGCGGTGCCAAGCCCCCGCTCACTGTGCCAAGGTCGCATAATGGACATTTAAGTCCTTATTGCTTTTCGACCTCAGCCCTAGGCTGCTCAGGGCGCGCTCCATGGATGCACACGCCCTGCGCAGCCCAAATTAGGGCACCGCAGCTATGCTTCGATGTTCTGTTGATCGAAAAGAACGGATCGGACGTCGTTGAACGCACGTGGGGGGTGCACTGCAGGCCAGTGCGAGCAGCAGCTGCGAGACGGAGTCGCTTTCTGCACCTCCTCTGCATTGGTCAGGTTGAGTTGCATGGTGCCGTGATCGTTGCATGGCATGGGCTGTAGATGCGCCATGCGTGCCGAGGTGAACGGCTATGGTTGAGCAGTACAGGGATGGGCTGTTCAAGGCTGTTGCCTGGGAGGATACGCCCTGCCCACGGTCAAACCATTTTGACCCTGGCCTTGTGCCACGACTATCATCCTTCCTGTCATGGCCCATGACCAAGCAGACCTAACGTATCAACGCATTAAAACCTGCTGCATTCAAAAACGTCAGACTATGCAAATGCGGCAGGGCAAAACAACTGTCACAATGGAGAACATCTGACAGGCGCACTCCACGACGGGGCAGGAGGGCATGGCCTACAGCCATGCTTCCCGCAAAGGCGCACTTGCACTTCCAGCTGGGATAGCACTGGAGTTCAGGTCACCCATTGCATGCCGGCAACTTGTGCGCATCTCAAACTTGGCTTGCTACATGGCGCTTGCAGAACCTGCAACCTATGTTTACACGAGTGCTGGTGCCACACAGATTGATGGCGCAGGCCAGCCACAGCGCTCCCAAGCGCAGGGCGGCGCGTCATTGTAACGAATGCGCACATATGTTGCGACATATGGCAAACAGATATGGGGAGCCCCTTCGTGGTGCGTCGGCCGTCCTCCCCACAACTTGGGGAAGTCCGCCGCATTTACGCCCAGTGGGTGGCTGCAGGGCACGAGACGGCCCGCTGCCAGCTCAACAAAATGGTGGTGGCACCAACGGATATGCGAAGTCGCGAAGTCACAGATGAGATGCAGCCAGGGGACAAGGTTGCCCTGGTTGATCGAGCAGTATATCTCCTTGAGGGCAAGGGTAAAGCGGAGATCCCGCCGAGACAGATTTCAAACCTGGGAGCAGAAACGACTTGTGTGTGAGCAGGGCTGCCCGAAAGGGGGCTGCAGGTATGCCAAAATTTTAGTCTTTTCGGCAGAATGTAATCAAACTGTTCAGGTACAAGTCGCCTGCCGCGGCGGCAGCGGCGCATTGTGAGGACAAACGGAGCTTTTAAGTTTGAACGAGCAGGCAAGGGGACGTGGCTTTTCGGTGGCATCAGACATAAAATAGAGAGCTCAGGCAATTGTTGACAAGCCTTTTGTGCGTGTGGGTGGTTTTGGTACACAACTCACACTCGTGCGCTATTTGGCGCCTCCATGACAACAGCTGCACAACGCACGGCCGCGTTTGTGCAGAGGTGGTGCTGGGTGCCAGGGAGAGTGCACCAAGGCCGCGCACAGCCCGTCGCAGCCACGTTTGCTCAATGAGGCTGCATGTGCTGCAAGAAGGCTTGAGAACCGCAATTTGTTGAAGCATGCACACCACTCCTTGGTCTTAGTCTCTCCTCAGCACACAGCACTCAATGACGCCGTTGCGGCTCGGGACGTACACACACTCAAACGTACTAATAAAACTGCCAGGAAGGGTTTTCGCTAGTCAGGGGGGACCTCCACGTGCAAGGCAGCGGCCGGCTGGCCCAAAACGCCGAACGAGTGCGACTTGCACGTGTGTGGAGGCCAGAGCAAGGCTGCCGCTGCCCACGGAAACACGAGAGCACAGCGCGTGGCAGCAGCAGCAGTGAACAACTAATTGCGGGGAGCAGGGGGACAAAGCATGCCCATGAACAGGACTCCATCAGCAGCAAATCTCCGCTGTTGGGTGGCATGCGGTTGCATGCCGTTGCAGAGGGTTTGGTGACTGAGGTCCCCGCCGCACTGGGTGTCATGCGGGCCTCTGCATCGCATGTGTGTGCGAGTGTGTGCAGCTGGTATGTAGAAGGGCCGCCGGGATGGCCAGGCGGCATTCGAGATGTGTGGGCTCTTCCCATGGGGTAGGTGCGCCGTGGAAAATGGCACTTGTGAACTTGGGGCCAAGCACCTGGCGGAAAGCGCGCAGCGGCTTGCATCCCGCTGCACTCTGCTGGTTCAGCTCAAGTACAACCCACGCGGCTGTGGCAACACCTGACCAGACAGCCGCCTATCTACATGCAGCCGCCCACGAATTGCTGGGGGAACGGCGCTGCATCGATTTCGCCCTGCTGGCACTGCAACTGCAGGAGGTGGAGGCGCAGCGCCTGCTGCTCATGCTCGGCACGCAGCTGCTGTAGCTGCTGCTGCAGCTCAAGCCGCAGCGCCGCTGCCGCTGCTGCCGCCGCCGCCGCCGTAGCAGCTGAGTCCGACCCCATCACGAGCTCTGGCGGCGTCGATGGCGCATACTGCCCAAACAGATGGCCTGGCAGCGGGGGTGAACCCACGGGGCCGCACATGTTGTTGTGGTGGGACGCCAGAGGCACTGGGCTGCCAGCTCCACTGAGGACACGCGCAGGCCCCGAGCCGCCCGCTCCCTCCGCAGCAAACGACGAGCCCGCCACCGGCGGCGGCAGCGCCAGGCCGCGGCAGGCAGCCGCGGCCCGCGACAGCGCGTCCGGATCGTCGCAGCTGACGGAGCGGGTGGCGGCGCCGAGAAGGCCGGGAGGGGGCGCCACGCTTGTGTCAGACAGCCAGGAGCGGCGGCTGAGAGGAGTGGCCCCGCCGGGAAGGGGCGCCGCGCTTGTGTCAGACCGCCACGAGCGGCGGCCGAGCGGGGTGGCGCCGCCGCTGCTGCTGAGGGGCGGCCCTTCCCCTGAGCACGAAGCAGGCGGCGTGTGGTATGCGTCCCAGCAGGGGCACGCCGACGCGCCGGCGCCAAACGCCGGCTGCTGCAAGCAGTCCGGCAGATGCGTCAGCGGCGACAGGCCCAGGGCGCTGCCGGCGAGGCTCTCAGCGCGCCCCAGCGCGCACGCAGCGCCGCCGCCGACCTGCCGCCCGAGCAACAGCTGCCGGATCGCGTCCGCCGCGGCGGGCTGCGCGCCGAGGGGCGCGCTCAGGTCTGCGACGAGCGGGGCCCCTGGCAGGCCGCCCCTCGCGCCCGCGCCCTGCAGCGAGGCGAGCTCCCACGGCGCCGCAGCACCGAGCGGCGGGGCGGCGCCGTACATGCGCTTCTGATGCAGCTGGATCTCCGCCAGCGCCGCGGCCAGGCTGAAGCGGCCGCGGCCTAGGGCTCCATGGACCTCCAGCAGCAACTCAGCCGGGTCCCGCGCCACGTCCAGGCCCGCCGCCGCCGCCGCGGTGTCAGCAGCGGCGGCCGCGCATCCGCCGGCGGGGGCGGGGTCGGCGGGCGGCGCGTCCGCGGCGGGGCTGCCGTCGGCGGACGGCGGGGCCGGCGGGGGTGCCCTGAGCTCTGCGGCGCTGCAAGGCGCATGATGTGTGGATGGGGGTTGAAAAGTGAGACGGCAAGTAAACATTAATCAAGAGAGGGCAGACAAGGAGAGGCTGATGGAAAGTCTGGGGTGCTAGGAGAACGCTGCCAGATGCTTTCACCTGGCTGCTGCCATGTGACAAGAAGCCAACCGCCCAACCAATCAAGTGCACCCTGCGACTGGGCCTCAGCAACTGCAGTTGCAGCAACAACACACCTGTGTGCAAAAAAGCAGAGGGGCTTGGTGCAGGCTGGTCCATTCAGACACATCTGTGTCTTGAAGCGGTCAGGGTGGAGCCTGCAGGTGGTTGGACGGTGAGGTGTGGTGACATGCATGGTCAGGGGAGAGGGGGGGGTTGGGGCCGGAGGTTTTGAATAGCACACGCATGACGCCCCCGTGTCACCCATGCATGCATGCGTGCCTGCGTGAGAGCAGGTGTGACGCTTGTGTTGGTGTGGTGCGGCCCCAGGATGCCTTATGACCATCTAGTGTTGTACTTCGGACTCCAACCTCCGACATGGGTGCCTCCACCAGCTGCACCCACGCGTGCCTGCAGCTGCCCCACCATCGGCCACTCACCACAGCTCGTAGACCGTGTGAGCAAAGCCGCAGGCGTCCCCCTTGCCGCAGGCCGCGCGGTTCTCGCAGCTGTTGGGCGACTTTTTGTTGCGCTGGGGGCACCGCTTGGCGACGTACTGGAAGGCGCGCGGGCAGCGCCGCCCCGAGTTCTCGTTGTAGTGCTTCTGCGGGCTGCAAGGGTTCGACGAGCGCGCATGGGGTTGGGCGAGGGGCACACGTTTATGCCGGCGGCTCGCATGAGGCGAGGGGCGGTGGGCGGCGGCGGCATGTGAGGGTCCTCTGGGTGGCGCCCTGAGGGGCGGCATGGGATCACATGGGTGCACATGATCGTGCAGTGCTCGGCTGCGAACGCCAAGGGCCTCCAGGTGCGCACCATGTGGCCCAGTCGTGCGGCGTCGGGTCCATGCAGGGCTGGACCTGGGTTGGAGGGGTGGGTGTGTACCAGCCGCCGGGGTGAGCGACGTGCATGGCATGTGAGCTCCTGTCAGCGGGGACGCACGTAGTTGACTTGGCACATGCGCCCCTGCCTTGCGGCAAGCCATGTGCAGCCCAAACAATTGCATGCAAGGCTCAGGCAGCAGCAATGGCTTTCGCAATCCCATGCGCGTCGGAGAGATGCCGCAAGCGGCGCAGCCACGGGGCAGCACCACTGTTGGGGGATTCGTTGGGGCTCGGCCACACACCTTGTAGCACAACATCCACCATCGAGCCTCTGCCTCTGCGAGTATGCGCTCATTATATATCATGACGGTGAACCCGCGTGCCGTGCGACGACCCTAGACGAAGGGACGATGGCCAATCCCTGCACGAGGCGACGGCTTCTTCGGAAATACACCCCGGCAGAGGGATGTGCACGAATGTGTTATGTGAAAACCTCGGGGAATTGTAGGCAAAGTGAAACCAGTACAACCTGGCCACCAGGGGCGGGTGTCACGGGTGAGCGGAATGATGTCAGAACCGTCGCAGCAATCTACTGCCGCTACACGTAACCCGCTCTGTACACGCGAAGGTACTCTCTTTCGAGTTTTTGCGCCACAGGCTGAACCGCGGAGGGGTGATGCTGCCCACCCGGGAGTCACCCGGGCAGCCGCAACCTCGGTGCGAGGCGGTGCGTGCGCGTGCGTGGTTCCACCAACCCGGGGCGCTTTGCCGCCCCTCCCTTGACTCGCACCCAATCGCCCCTCGGAAACTCTGTCCCACGACTCGTACCACAAAAGTCGCACAAATGGCACACGTAGCGCCGCACAGACGACACGCATGACAGCATCAGAGGCGGTGGCAGGTGCCACCCTACCCTCTCGTACCGTGCCGGTACAGCCTCTAGGTGGGTCGGAGGCCCGGCTGACCTTCCTCCCTCAGCTGCCACAGGCAGGGGACCTATCCCTTGCAGGAGGACTGTCAAAATCTGTCTTACTCTCTCAAAGGAATCACTTAATATGAACTTTATCGGCGCTCGCTGGTGTCATGCTACAGGTGCAGGGTGCGAGGATTGGCCGGCCCGCGCGCCCCCCTCCCAAAGGCCGCACCCGGTCCGATAAATCCTCACAACAGCCCTTCCACAGCGAGCAAACACTCACTCGTCCCCACATGCCAGCAAAGCGTCGCGGCAACCCAGCGCCATCAAGCCGGCCAGTCGCAACGCGCCTTGGAACGAGCGGCAGGCCGGTCACTCTATAGCACCACGCATGTGTTGCAGTCCCACCAGCCCGCACCACCTGCATATTTGTGCTGAAATACAAAGCCGCAGCGTTGGACAGCGGCCTGTGGACTCGAGCGGGCCCTGCTGCTGTCTTCTCCGCATGCGGCATCCAACAGAGCCAGGGTGTTGCGGCCGGGGGAGCTGCGGGCGCCTTGGTGAGATGGCTTCATGGGGGGGGGGGCGCCTGGAAATTAACCCGGGCTGATTGTGTGCCATCATTCGGCGCGCATCCTCCCCTGGCCACATGGCGCTTCCAGCACGCATGTTCTGTTGCACACCACTGTTTTTTTAGGTTGTAAAGGTTGACTGTCCATTGCTGTGTTGTGGAGTGCTGCGAGAAGGGCTGTTGAGCAGAAGTGTGAGGCTGGGGCCCATGCCTAACGGATATACGAGAGATTTCCCTGAAAGATTGCGCTCATGGTTACTCATCATCACACACAAGCACACCAGAAACCCAGCATAAACAATGACAATTATTGGGTGCGCCGGACAGGGGTCCGATCGCAGAGATGTGGTCCACAGCAAACTTGTGCCGGCACGCACAACGTGGGTCCGCAACAGCACCAGGACCGTCAACGCTCACACCGCTGCGGGGTGCGCAGCCCTGCTCCTACGCGCTCGCCGCCGCCGCCCCCGCTGCTCCCGCCACGGCGGCCGCGGCGGCCTTCCCGCTGGCGGCCGCCGGCGGCCACGCGGGAAGGGCCTGCTGCAGGTCTGCCGACAGCGCCGCAGGGATGCCGTGCGCCTCGAGCACCTGCATGGGCACAAGCGTGGCGG